TACAACTCCACCCTTATGGTGTCAAATTCAACATAATCTTCTAGATTTCGTGGAATGTGCTCTAGTTTGTACTCGTTTTGTGTAAAAATACAGTTTCTGATGCACCACAATATGATATATACAAGCTAAAAAACACATATTATGATCATCTTGCTTCAAAATGTAGAGTTCGAATGGAATAAAATTGGTAGAAAAGTGATAATATTACATATAATCCTTATGTAATATGTAATTACAATCCCTTATGTTTAAAGTTTGGGAAAATGTGTTTTGGAATAAAACTTTATAAAACAAAAACCCCTTATGTTTATGTAATTACAATCAACTCCCTCAACTATGTATTGTCTTTCATATCCACCCTTACAGTATCAGCTTTTACCTATCAAAGTAGGGATTTTTCCGTAAAATAATATATAGTTGAGGGATAATTGTAATTATTCAAATAAAAAGAGATTTTTCGTAATTTAGACTTACGTCAGGGGTGGCCGTAATTCGCCGTAAAATAAGTACGAAAAACTTTCCAAAGGTAGGATATTGTAGAGCATAGAAGATGGACCAAGTGATGTGTGATTGACATTAATGGGAACAAGAACCACAAGAAAACACACACACACACTACACCTTATCTTGACAGAATTCCATGACAACTTTGAATAGCAACAAAACTATATATTTTAATTAATTACGTATTTTATTCCCCATTATTTATTTCAAAACATGATTTTTGCCACTTTATATAATTTAATTTCTTGTTGGGTAACAATTCCTACGTGATTTCTACCCACCTTGTCTTTTTTATTATTTAAAAAAAAAAAATTTCAGAGTTGTGTTTGAGCTCGATTTGATAAGCCAATCGACGAATCGAACGCAAATCAAATTCAAATATGCTGCATTCGTGTCTATATTTTATCAAGATAGAACCGAGCTTCATAGTTTATTAAACAAAAATGTGTTCCCAATTGGTTTGTAATGCCAATAAAATCAAACTCAAACGAGCATAATCTCGAATATTTTAAATTGATTTTCAGTACAAGAACCATCGCCAACGGACGCTAAGTCGAGATTGTAACACATGGTAAATCTAGTGTTGTTTACGCCTTTCGTATATCTTGCAAGTTGTTATCATACGAGAATGTACGTTTACACAGTACATCTATATGATTGACTACGAATTTCTTTATTGCCAGAAAAAAAAGGGGCAAAAAGTAGAAGAATTCAAACATGCATGTTTACAAAGTTTAACTCATTAGTAGAAAAACAAATATTTGCTCCTCACCAAAGACTTAAACAAATCAATGGTGAGTTTTGAGTTGTACATTCTTAATTGTAATAATAACTCAAAATTGCCTGATAAAAATTTTGATGAAGCAAGAAAACAAATATGGCTTCACTAAAAATCTAAGTTCATTACAAAGAAAGAACCACTAAATTTAAAACCGCATGGGTGAATGTATAAGAAGATTTATAGGTAGAGGTGGTTGTAATTACCCAAACAAATGGGTGGTTGTAATTACACAAACAAGAGGAGAGTTTTGTAATTTTACCATACTTCAGGGGTGGTTGTAATTTACCCTTTCAATTATAACTCTTTCTTATTCACTAAACTGAATTAAGTTTTCTCTCTGTTCCCAACACACATTAATTTGTTTCTGTTTAATAATAATAAGAACCCACTTCTTTTTCATTGGTAAATGTAATCCATCTTTATTCTGGAAGGAGGTGTGGTTGAATTTTCATATAACTGGTGTTGCCATAAAATTCTTATCAAGAAATTTGAAAATTTGCAGTAAGAATTATCGATTCTAATACATGGTGTTTTGATCCGTGATGATCAATTTAGGATTTTATTATTGGTGTTCGATTAAAATAGTAATATATGAATATGTGTGAAGAAAAATTTGTTGGAATTATTTCAATAATTATGTGGGCTCACATATGTAACGTAAATGTGTATGGCTATCTAAGAGAAAGTCCAAATTAATTGTGATCTAATAAAGATTATTGGGTTGGACTTATGGGTATTAGACTATAATTGGGGCTGAATCACAATTATAATATAACTGGACTCTACAGTTATATAAAGGGTCGTGGTCCCCAAAGAAACGCAACCATTCCATCTTTTCTAAAATCCATCGTTAGAGAGAAAAATAAGGAACTGCGGATTCTTTGGAAGACCTATCCCAAATCCGGTGGAGATTCGAAGATTCGATTACATGATGTAAGGTACGCTTCCGTGTTTATGTTTAGGTTTGATTCTCGTTGATTCAAGCATGTTGGTTCTAGGGAATTCGTATGTATGTACGATAAATTTTCTAACAAATGGTATCAGAGCCACCATGTTTTGGATCGTTGAGAATTTTCCATGTGTTAAATTATATATGTTGCAGCGTAATCAAATCTATGTTCACGGATTTGATATTTTAAGAATTACGGTCAATAATCTGCATATATGAATTGGAATTCTCTTTAAGATTAGTATTCAATTCGGTATTATGTGATATATATATTTTTCCATGGATTCATATTTCTGAAAATTGGGCTTTATGCTGATCTAGAATTTAGTATCATATGAAACCTATTTTTTTTGTCAATTTAATTGTGAAAAATCCGGTCGGATATTAAATCCGAAATTAGGTCCCCTGAATTTGAAAATTCGGATTAAGGTTTTAAGGTTAATATTTGAAAATTCCAAATCTAAGGTGAAATTAGGGGCGACGGTCATCTGTTTATGTCGACCGCGATGCGGTTTCAGCACTACCACAATTCCAATCTATGCCACCAATTAATGTTCAGACTTCAGATCCCATTTGGTTTAATTTTGTTACTTGAATCTGAATATGGAATAAAGAAAACCCTCCATCGCCATGATAGTTTCAAACCTGAGACGACGGCGGCCCTATGGCTTTCTTGGTCGTAAAGTTTCGGGCGGCGATGGAGCTTCGGTCTCGCCACGGCGGCATAATTCGCAGAAGGGGCAGCCGGGGCGCCGACGGTGGATTTCGGTGGCGTGGGTGCTTGTGAGTTATGTGTATCCGGCGGTGGTGTACGGCCGATTAGGATGGTGGTCCCATAGTCGTTCGCGGCGGGGCCATTTTTCTGGCCAGCCAATGATCAGCATTGAGGCATGGTGGTGGCGGCGGGATTGGCAGATTAGGGTAGAAGGATTAATTAAGTTTTGGAAAATTGCAATTCAGTCCCCTAATTTAAGTTTAAGATATTTAGCAATATTTCGATTTGGCCCGTATCTTGGTTATGCCTGATTTTGGGCCGGGGTCAATTTGAAAGAATGAAAAATCTGTTTCGGGGCCCTCAATGTTTCTGAAAACTGCATTTCAGTCCCCGCTTTTAAAGTTTCTCCCAAAACAGTCATATATTTTTCGAAAATATATTATAAATCTCAAATTGAGTATTTCTGAATCTTAGGTCCCTTTTCTCTCAAAGGCTTTTCTTTCAAAATTTCAGTTGAGTCCTTTAAGTTGAAAGATTTTCTGGTTTTGGGGCAAAGGCAATTTTTAAGGAATAAAAAAAGTTAAGTTAAGGTTTGGGGCCGTTAAAAACATTTCAATTATTTTGAGGGACCGAACT